ATATGTTTATTATAATTGTAACTTTTTTTTTAGTGGAAAATACGTCTACTCAAAATGCGCCTACTGTATCTGAATTGCCAAAGGAACTAATGGATAATGAACTTTTACCAAAATATAAACGAGATCTAGTGGCAAAATTGAAATGCTTGAGGGCAGAATTAATCGCTCTTCAACCCCAAAGTGGACACTGTAGGCTTGAAGTATCGAGAAATGAAATATTTGAAGTGAGTTTTAAAAGCATTGCTATGAAAGAAAACGTATACATGAATATGTATGAATATGTATTATATAGTGCAAAGAAGAATATAGTTGAAAATGAAAAATTTATGACACTTATATTCTAATTTATTATGTTTGTAATGAAAATATTACGTGTAATTATTTGTGTTTAGGAATCATATAGATTAATCATGAAAATGCGACCAAAAGATATGCGGAAAAGACTTATGGTAAAATTCCGTGGTGAAGAAGGTCTTGACTATGGTGGAGTAGCACGAGAGTGGTTATATTTATTATCTCATGAAATGTTAAATCCACAATATGGATTATTTCAATATTCGAGAGATGACAATTATACGCTTCAAATCAATCCAGATTCAGGAATAAATCCAGAACATTTATCGTACTTCCATTTTGCTGGCAGGATTATAGGAATTGCTGTTTTTCATGGGCATCATATTGACGGTGGATTTACAACTCCATTTTACAAAATGTTGCTTAATAAGGCTATTACTCTTACTGACATAGAAGGAGTCGATCCGGAATTACATAGAAGTCTCACATGGATGTTGTAAGTAAATTAAAGTACTGTACACAGAACTTTTATACAGGACGAATTCCAAAAATGTTATTATTTTAACAGAGAAAATAGTATAGACGGAGTGTTGGATGCTACATTTTCAGTAGAACATAGTAGTTTTGGAGTATTAAAAAATCATGAGTTAAAACCGGGTGGTAAAGACATTCCTGTAACTGAAGAAAATAAGAGGGAATACGTCCGTTTATACGTGAACTATCGCTTTATGCGAGGAATTGAACAACAGTTTCTGGCACTACAAAAGGGATTCCATGAATTAATTCCACCGCAATTATTAAGACCATTTGATGAAAGAGAATTAGAATTGGTTATAGGTGGTTTAGGAACTATTGATATTAATGACTGGAAAATGCATACACGATTAAAACATTGTACACCCGATACGCCTGTTGTCAAATGGTTTTGGCAAATAGTTGAATCTTATGGAGAAGAAATGAGAGCTCGGTTACTGCAATTTGTTACAGGAAGTTCCAGAGTTCCTTTGCAAGGTTTTAAGGCTTTACAAGGTAATAATATGTTCTAAAAATAAATTAAATAATGTTTTCTTTCTTTTTTTTAATATTTTTGTTTTTGAGCAGGTTCAACAGGAGCTGCAGGTCCGCGTCTATTCACAATTCATGCCGTTGATGCACCTAGTGAAAATTTGCCAAAAGCGCATACTTGTTTCAATAGAATAGATATACCCGAAAGTTATCCCAGTTATCAAAAAATGCTTGACAAGCTTACGCAGGCGGTTGAAGAAACTTGTGGTTTTGCTGTTGAATAAATAGGTAAAATATATTACCTTATTATGTATAGCATATACTCTGTTTCTAGGATTACTCAGAGTATACATTTTTATAGCAAGGAATATTCATCGACAGATTTTACTGTCGTTAAATTAAAAATTAATGTTTGAAGTACCAAGAGATGTTATCTAAGAAGAGTAAGAAAGGAAAAGAGTACTAGTACTATAAAATGAAAATGTTAATATGTAGAATGTCAGTAATATTTCTGACAATGTTTTTGTACAAATATTCAAATGGCCTTGGTGGTTGTAATGACTGACAAATGATTGTCGATTGGTATATCATGTATGTAAACACTCTTGTGATTTTCTCACTTCGTCCATGAACATTTAAAATGAATGGTTCCTCAGAAGTTCTGATTATATTGGTCTCTAGCTATTTATCATTCAGTGACCGATAATGATGTGCAAATATTGCAGTTTCATTCAGGTAATCATCTTGATTGGCCTAAATTAAAACTTTTGTTTATAATAATCAACTTTTCCGTCATAACTGTAGTACCAATAATTTACTCGTAAGACACCATCAAAGAATTAACTTCATTGTTCAAGGTATGATAGACAAATCATGCATGCACAAATATCTACGGAAAATGAATTCTTTCACAAAATGAAAAGCATTGTTCAATTATGAATACGCTCATGTTAGTATTTTATATTAAACGAAAATATAAATACAAATTAATTGATAAATTATGAATCTCAAAGCAATCAGAATTTCTTAATACACGTTATTTGAAATCAAGTTTCTTTTGTGCAATGTTCTTTCATTCTTGAAAGATTTCAGTTTCTCTGTGAATCAAATGTAGTAACAATATGCACTGTCAATTAATACTTCTACATTAACTACCTTCAAAGTAATAGAACTTAGTGTCAAATCAATAATGTATACTCAAATTCACACTATTATAATCAGATATTGAAAACAGTGTTGGGAATCTAGTATTTTACAAATGTATTATAACATAATGGCTCATGGTGGCTAAGGGGAAAATACAAAATTTGTATATACATCATGACCTTAAACGCAAGTGTTATGTTTCTTATTTAATGAATGTATTTTAGAGATGCTTTTAATTATGTATAGGAACGTGCTGATTTCATATCAACAATCGTAATATTTACGTACGTTTGATTATACATATTAAAATAAGAAAGTACGTTTCAGTATTAACATTACTTTTATTGCAATGCAAACAACACTTGCGTTTGGGAACTTCGTAACGCAATCAGCAAATTTTGTTATTGCTGCGTAATTCATACGAACCGCAGATTATTGTTGCTAGTTTAGGAGCCAATAGCACCGAATGCGTTAATGAAATATAAATAATAAAGTTTAATATAAATTAATAACAGGAGCGTATAACGTGTGCGCCAGGTTCTAGTGTAGGTTAAATCGTGAATCATGTACATTAGCTTTAATTTAAAATGGTATAGATATTTAAGGAAAGAGTTTATTCGACATGTTTATGTAAAGTTAACAAATTTTGATCGAATCGACTCTTTTACTTTAGGGAGTTCACAAAATCTATGCGTTACTAGGTCTTTTAGTAAAGCATAGAAAAACTTATTTATCGCACGAATACTTCATTTAGTCTCTAGTATTTACTTTTATTGTAAAGATCTAGTGGCTAATAGCACGAATCATCATTTCGTATTATTATTACATTATTGTATTTTATTCTGCACATAACTGTGATCAAACATATCGTAAAAAAGAGAAGAAACAGTGGGGGACACTTATTAATGGTTTGTTTGAATATTTCACATGTATTTGTGTGTGTTGTGTAACAACAAACCTTTCTACGAATATTTGTTTTAACAATGACTTGATTAACGAAATATCGTTATATTGTATACTTTACCCGTAAAAGTATCACCCGTTTTCGGTTTTGAAATACGGTCTGATTACTTTACCTTCATGCTCTTATCATAAAACTATCATCCGTCTTCTTTCGCATGGTACACTAACGAAACAATCGTTCCACTTATACTCAACGACGACGATGGTGATGATGGAAATGTTTACATTGACACATTCGAAAAGTTTCACGATACAGTATTAAATGGAATTTATTGAATAATATTGCAAATTCAAGACAAAATCCAATGATACCTAAATTCAAATTTTTTTGTTCATTCATTGGTTACTAAATTTTGCAATGCTTCATATACATTTCCTTACCAAAATAAAATTTGAATTTATATACAGCACGTTCTTGGGTACTCTTAAGATTAAATTGCTGAACAACCAAAACGAGGGTCTCCCACAAGTTTCTTATATCTTGCAAACTTTTTTCTAATTTTTTATTGCATCTGACGGGAATGAAGGCCTTATTAGTGCCTTGGAGATGATGTCAATGAGAAAAGAACAAGTTTTATGTCTATTATATTTTGGAATAAAAATAATGCTGCATGCCATTTTAAGGTACGTCTCGTAAATTATAAAAAAATGAATATCAAAAAAATCGTCACAACGTAAATTACACAAATGTATGTATAAATTATTATAAAAATGAGACCCCACGGTTGGACAGCAAGTAGAAATTACTGTCACCAGTTAGACGAATATCACTAATGAGATTTCAATTAAGTAAAATCTAAACATTTATGAAGCAATCATCGCATTTACTAATTCATTGTTTCTTAATGTTAGATAAGAAAAAATAACGTGTTAAAAAACAAACATAATGTGCATAAATCTTCTATAAGTAAACTCATCAATTTCTAAATTGAGCATATCCGAATCGGTGCTAATCCGAATTGGTTGCAAAGTAACGTGAGAGTTAAGAGTCGCATGCTAGTCAGCGCTCCTATAGAGTTAAAGTCTCGTTGCCGAGTAATATATGAGTGAAATGCTGTTTTAAATACTGAAACCAAATCCTCTTTACAAGCTTCACTCACTCAACGCTACTATACCCACGCTTTTATGGCTTCGGCTCTTCATGCGATTCGTTGCCTGACTCGCAATCCTCGAATTCAGGTTTCGCTTGTGAAAGCCCTGCTTTGGATATGCTTGATCTAAACAACAAATAACAAATACCTTGGAACGAAGCTTCAATTATTCCCATTGTATTACATATATGAATAATTGGCGGAAAGAATTGGTGTTCATCAATTATTAAAAACCAAATAATTATTTTAAATCAAGTATTATGCGAAATCGAGTTTGATTGCTAAATGCATGAAATGCATTGCAATAGCACAATGTTACACAAAAAATTGTATTTAAAAGTGATTTACTGCCTAATTATGCGAGTCTAACAGGAGACAATATTAAACAATGAATTAAGATGAAGAGGTACAAAATTAGAAAACGACTTAAAACATATCATACAGAGATATTCATTGCAATTTTAAGTCTCAAATGTGAATGTAATTAATAAAATAATTTGTAATGAATTACGGGTATAAATGCTCTCTTAAATTACTTGAATGTTTAGTAATTTATACAATCAGAATTTTTACTGAAAATATGTGGTGGCCTGATTTTGAATTCAGTGTTCAGTATATACTGTGCTTGTTCATAGTAAGATTGTATTCTACCAAGTAGCAAAATATTTTGCAAATATTTATACGTTTTTGTATTTGGAAATCAGAAACAATTTCTGCCCTTTAAAAGAGCAATAAAATGTGAATAAAAATGAGGAATCGTTTATTGAACAACTTAGACATGGATTTTTGTGACTCATTTATCCAAAATATGTGTGAGAATTACAAAAAAATGCGAATATGTTACTACACTGCAATTACTTTATTATTATTATTATTATTAATATTATTAATATTATTATTATTATTATTATTATTGCTATTATAATCGTCGTTATTATGATTATTGCGCAGAATCTTCAAAACACAATTGTATATACATCTTTTCCTTTTGTATTTTGGATGAAATGTATATTTTAATAAAATATCCAAAGTATACACTTTTTTAATATTGTCTTTATATTATAAAATAGAATGTATATTAATATTTTATTTTTTGTAAATCAGAAATTACAATTTTACTCTTACTAACTATAATGAAAAACAAAATAAAAATAAGTTACACAAAGCATAATAAATTATAAATTTATTCAATATTTAAGGGGAAAAATTTGTATATGGTTTACATTCATTTTTGTTATTCAAATGTATAAATATAATATTAGTGTTGCGTTAAATAAATTTCAATTAAATATTTCTTCTCAAGAAAGCGTAGTAGTAAGTCAATTTGGAGCTAAGTTTTTCCGACATATTATGGACACCCTGTTTATATTTATCATGTATTTAAGTAAGAATAATTTCATTGATATTAAATTATTCAAAGTCTGTACTAATTTTGTCTACATACCGTTTTAAATTAATAATTAATTACCTTAAAAAAATAAATATTCAATGTATATAACATTATTTATTACACTTTTCCACGACTCATAGAGATTTTCAATTTTCGAGTGTATAACTATGGGTTGATAATATCAAATATGTTACTATAGTGTAGGGGTAATTTATGTTCCTGACTTCAGAGGTATAGAACTTTGAGTCGCTGTAGGATCTTTCCCCGCGGAATTTATTACCCCTTCCATACCTACTTTCAACTGATTTGCATTGAATACTACATAGAGCTGCTCGCGTACACGATCTTGGACAGTTTCTAGAGTAGAAGTGGTAGGGGAACGCCAATCGACAGTCACTAGCTTGAGGGGAGGGGGTTCGACACCTCTGCCTCACTTCATTTAATTTGAAATAGTGAAAACATTGTTGATAGTTTACGTTATACGATGATTGATACATAATATGTAAAGAAAAATAGTCCTTTTTTTACGATAAATGTGTATACCTAGTTTTATACCATGGCTATGTTCGAAGCATTAAGAAAAGAATATAGTGTAAGAGTTATGTTAATACATTATTCTATTTAAACATTTCTTATAGGTTATGTGATTATTTATTCACAACATTATTTCTGTGTATTGTTCAGGATTATTTACAACAATGTTTCAAAGTGCCAGACGTACAAACATTTCAGAAGAAGTGTACAGAATTGTGTACAAATGACAGTGACAGAAAAGCTGCAGTTGATCAAGCACTAAGGGACAGTCTTCTTATAATTTTATCTAATAATGTGCCAAGTAATGTTCAACTACTTGAAACGTATATTACATTCTGTATCGAATTATGTAGAAAAGACTTAGCAACTGCAAGTATGCCAGTAATGTTACTTGGTGATATATTTGATTCTATGACACTTGATAGATGTGAACAACTTTTTACTTTTGTTGAAAACAATGTTGTTGTGTGGAAAGAAGATTTATTTTTTAGTGCTTGCAAAAATAATTTATTGCGTATGTGCAATGATCTACTCAGGAGATTATCACGGTCACAGCAGACTGTTTTTTGTGGAAGAATTCTTTTATTTCTTGCTAAGTTTTTTCCATTTTCTGAACGATCTGGCCTTAATATTGTCAGTGAATTTAATTTGGATAACCATACAGAATTTGGTTCTGAAAAATCTGAAAGAGATGATTTGGAACAAATAAATAAAGTTGATGATAAATCTGAGATTAAAGTACCAATTGATTATAACTTGTATAGAAAATTCTGGGCTTTACAAGATTTCTTTAGGAATCCGAATCAGTGTTATCAGAAAATGCATTGGAAAGTATTTTCAGCGGTAAGTTAAAATCATAATTATAAAATTGTTATAAATTCCAGTTATACAATTTTTCATAGTGAACTTTTATAGCATGCTTCAAGTGTTCTGTCAGCATTTTCATCTTTCAAATTAGAAGAACAACGCAATTATCCTACGACATCTGTTAAAGTAGATTCTTCAATGGAAGGACCTCATAAAGAAACTCCATATTTTGCAAAATATCTGACAAATCAAAAATTATTGGAATTACAGCTGTCCGATTCAAATTTCAGACGATATGTATTGCTGCAATTTCTCATTCTTTTCCAATATCTTAATAGCACTGTGAAATTTAAAGCGTAAGTATTTGCAATACATATACATACATCTCTTTATACACTTACATTTTACTATAAAGAATTCACAATACTTTTTCATAGAATTGCACATTCTTTATAAAGTACTAGTAAAATGATTTTTGAAAGCTATAAAACGATGTTTGTTTTCCAAAGCTTCCTTGCCAGTGGCTATGAGACAAGGTCTGCTTTCCTTAAATAGTGTTTTGAGTTATTTATGTCACAGAAACTCAATAATTTTTGTAATTTTTAAGTGAAACTCATGAACTGAAGCCTGACCAAGTAGATTGGGTAAAAGGTACCACGGAACAAGTTTATGCCTTACTGACAGAAACACCACCCGATGGCCCGACATTTGCTGAAACTGTTAAAAATATATTAAAACGTGAAGAACATTGGAATGCATGGAAAAATGAGGGTTGCCCACCATTTAAAAAACCAGCTTCAGATTCTAATTCTGATATAGAGGAATTGAGAAAACCAAAGAGACCAAAACGTAGAATTGGAGATGTTATCAGAGATGCTCAAGCAGTAGGAAAATATCATATGGGGAAGTAAGTAACTCAATGTTTTATAAATTATAAGAAAATGGTCATTTTTCCATCAATATTTTCATTAATATAATTCATTATATTTAAATACTTCATAGTCCAGAACTCACAAAATTATGGAACTTGTGTCCTAATAATCTTGAAGCATGTAAATCAAAAGACAGAGACTTCTTACCATCTTTAGAAACATACTTTGAAGAAGCTATTATGCAATTAGATCCTAATGCAATGGTTGAAGACGAGTATAAGTAAATATATTTTACTTTTTTTTACACTTTTGTTTGATTTTCAAAGTTATTGATGTTACATCTATATCTTATAGAAAAGTAAATGATGGAAACTTTGGATGGAGAGCATTGAGATTACTAGCTAGACGTAGTCCCCATTTTTTTGTTCATGGTAATTATCCTATCAATAAGCTACCTGAATATCTCGAAACAATGATTAAAAAAATTGCCAAAGATCGCCCAGTGAGTATATTTTTATTTTCTCTTAATTTATATTTTCATTGTTACTTAAATTTGACTGTAAATTATTTCTAATCATTAAAGCAAACGCAATCTGACATGAAATTGGAAACCGAAGAAACCCCACCACCAGAAGCCAATGATCAAGAGTTCAATGAAGATGTGTTACAAAAAGAAAGTGAACAAGTCGAATCAGAGAATACAGACACAAAAGGACGGAAATTAACAAAGATTACACCTGAAATGGTGGCAAAATTATCGGATGTATTAAAGAACGATTGGAAGAAATTAGCAACCAAACTTGGTTATACAAATGAAGAGGTAAATATATACAATATACGTACTACAAAATTAACCACAGAAAACAGAGAAAGGGAATTAGGAAGTGAAAATTAAATAATTATTCGTTTCAGATTATATTTTTCCAAAGTAAGTCAACACCATACGAACAGTGTAAAAATATGTTAGAAATTTGGGCAGAAGAAGATGTAGATGCATCCATGGAAAATTTGGCATACATCCTGGAAGGTTTAAAGTTCACGGAGGCACTAGGTGTTTTAAAATCTTAAATATTTTCTAAAAAAAATATTAATATGAAAATGGATTTTAAGAAATGTACAGTTTTACGTGAATTAAACTTTTTCAATTTCTTTAATGATGTTTTTCTTATAAAATGTGACTACTAATAAACCGTAATTTATTTACTTTATTAGAAGCGATGTCGTTACGGATATTTTATTTTACCATATAATCGGTGATTGAAGGAACAGAGGATCATACAACTCACCAATCATTCGTAACCCCAAAAAGTAGGAAACTGTTTTTAAGCACCGATAACTACTGGTCAGCACGATTAATAATGGTTACTGGTGGTAATCATAGATCCAGGGATAGAAGAAGTAAGGGGAGTTTTCGCTAACATTTTAGAGATATTAATACCTACTTTGTTGATTCATGCTTACAAAAATGTAATAATATAAGACTAATATTAAATATTCAGACGATATTAAAATGGTACTAACGTTATAAGGATCTGCTTGGATCTACATAATGATTCTTTGAATTTTTAAATATTTAAATTGATACAGAGAACTGTGATATTATCGTCTGTAGGTTATTATTATTAGTAATCAATAACTCAGCTTTAAGAATCGCATAACATTTCCTTATGAGTTACTACAGTGCCTACTTTTCTTTTTCTTCCGACGAGATATGGAATAGAGTGGACATGTATGTTTGTAAATAATTGAAATTTGGAAATTTGAAATTCTTTATGTTAGCTAATTTTATCAACTCCAATCGTCGATTCGAATATAATTCTTTTACTCGCCACCTACGTAGGAGGCATATCAAAACGGCTTCTTTTACACGATCGGTATATCAGATCTTCGGGCACTAAGTCCCATAAGATGTCTAGTCTACATTTCATTGATACTTTTACTTAGAGGTTGTAGTTTTTGTTGCCAGATAGCATCACTAGTAAGATTTAAACAATCTTTTTTAATTTTAGTGAGACTGTTAACAATACAAAATCGACCGCCGCAATCATTTTTACAAATTTTGTCTATAAAATGAATAATACAATCAAATATGTTACCTGATACAATTTGCTCCTTAAAAAATTAATACAAATTCTGTTAAAATAATGAATCAAGAAACTTAACTGAATTTTCCGATCTGGGTACTTCTTGATAATAAACATTTTAATCGCCATTCGTATAATATACACGATATGATGGAAAACCAGATATTAATTGAATTTACTAATCAAATTACATTTAATTCAGAACTTTCACCTCTTAATACAAAAACTTCATGACACGAATGCGTTGCAGTTCGTCCGCAAACCTCAAAAATCGTTCTCAATGCTTTCAAAGGATCATTGGCCGAAGTAAAACAAATCTGTCGGTTTCTCAGAAAGATTCATCGTTGTAGGCGTAAGTTCATCGGGGCTTTCTCGATTGTTTCCGTTGTTAGTCGAACAACCTTTAGTTAGTGTCGAACGCGCGCGGATACAAACGGACCGCGGATCTAACACGCGTGAGCAGGTGGCGCCCGCATTGAATCGAAAAGAAAAAATCTCGGGGGAAAAATAAACGGCTGTAAGCGACCGGGACAGCGCGCAGGAAATTTAATTGGACACTCGCTTTCGTTTAACCTTAGCGTAGCTCGCGGGTAAATTGCGATTCGCTCGTTGAGACCTCGTCGCGAGATAACATCACGCGATTACGGCTTCCGTGACCCTGCGAGCACGCGAAGTACGTAAAGTCTAAGAGATGAAGACACGTGTCGCTGTAAAGACAAATTCGTTACTTATGGAATCGTTAAGATTTTAATGACATGTTAATTTCCCGAATCCGAGGTTGTACAAGGTGTTCTAGCCGAAATGGAACACCTAAGTATTCCTTTTGGCTTTAATGACGCGATCGAACGTTTCGAGCACAATTTGAATGCTTCCAAAGAGAAGAAATCGTAAGACGAAAATGTTCGTTTTACAATAATTTTTTGCTATTTATTTCGGGCACACTGGTATTTTTTCTTTTCTCTTTTGTTTCATTCTTTCTTTACTGCCTGAGAAATACGTCTCCTTTTACACATCGCATGGTAGACGTTAAAGCGCATACGACTGTATTTGAGAAATGATCTTCGTGAAATTTACAAATGTAGAAATTGATACTCTGATCAACTTTTTCCTCTGATAAAAGTTTTGCAATCATATAGTTCTCGAAATAGTCGCGAGAAACTTTTTCTACTGCTACATTGAATTCTATGTACATCAGCGTGTCTGTGAGACGACCACTAACATAGCTATTTATTAAATAATACCAGAATATCTGTTTTAAATAGTAATTAAAAAACGCTTAATAACAATTTACCCCAGGTTTGAAAGAGACAGAACAGTAATTTCTACACGTACCGTGCAGACCAATCAATTAGTTTGCAATGGTTTCCACGTTCGTGTTATCAATTATCATATATTTCATATAACTTTGTTTGGTAATATTTTCAATTTTACGTTTATATTATTCTACTTAAAATACTATTATACTTAATTATATAATCCATACTACTTGATGCGATATTCAAATTATACAGTTTGCAAATTTAGCGAAACGAAGGCTGTAATTTGGCAGTTTCGTGCATGAAGGGAACTGCAAGTGCAATACGAATGAATTAATTGGGCGTTAAAAAAAATGGAAAATACTATACTCGGTGATTGTTAAATGCGATTCCTACTGAATTGTTACGCGTGAATGTTGAACTCCAGTTCCGTTAACGACAACTGTTGGCGAATATAAATATTTATATGACAAATTAAGCGCATTATCAATTCAAATACAATTCCCGCTGGTATTTATAGTTGTGACAAGAAACGTTCTTTGCATGACGCCTGAAAAGAAATTTATTAAAGCGGTCGTGGATCGGTATCAAACTTGTAGCCGGCCAATTTCCTTAATTGGATTTTTAATATAATCGGTTTACACGTTTTAACTTGCAGAAGGTAAGATGTATAGCGTACGCTTTAAATATGTGTGCAGATACGCGAACCGATTTAAGATCAATTTTAACTAAATTAAAACTTTCATCAGAAGCTACGTTCCGTATTTTGGTGATGTTTAAAGATATTCATTTTCTGTAAAATTATGCACTGCATACTGTTACGGTACACAAACTGGCCGAGGACTGATACCGGGGCAGGTTCATGAGATGCACCTGCGAAACGAGGCAGAACTAATGTAATCATATTCTGCAATTGGCGGTAAGACAAATTATTGGACAAAGAAATCGAATATTCTAGGGCTTATCGAGTTTTTATACGAGAAAAGATATCGTGGAATGCCAAAAACCAGATAAAATGAAAAAATGAACCTAAATTGGTTCTGCAATATAAACAAAATCAACATGAATTTGACTGAATGACAAGGAATCGAACTAGACTTCATTATATAGGAATATAATCATTAATTCTTTTGGGGCACTGTTGTAGAACAATCAAATAAAAATTGGAATATAGGAAATTCTCTTGTCTTGAGTTCCAGTATAATGATTTTATAATACAAACTCCATATTGTATAAACGTAAAGATCACAAAGTTTGCATTTCAATGAACTGTAAGTTTTATTATCGTCAGAAAGACAAATTTGAAAAAAGTTCTGAACTGTTGAAATGATCAAATATACTTACTAGAAAACTAGATATAAAGATCTAAGTAAGAGAAACTATTTGGCATAATGATATTTATAACACAATGTTTACAGAATAATTTAAAAAACATTGAAGTAAGAATCCGAAGAAAAATTTCTTAGGGAGGGGACTGTAGGAATTCGGATTCACCTTGTTATCATTAATGGAGCTGAAACGAATCATTGGAGGGTAGAGCTTCGACCACCCTCTAGAGAACACGCACCGCGAGACTGACCAAGATCGCGTAATCGTTATCCCGCAACTTGTTGTGCGCGTTACAGCGCGTATTTTAATGCAACAAAATTGCAGGTCTGCGGTCTCGGGCAAAGGGTGAATTTCATACACCTGGATGATTTTATACACCTGCAAAGCGGCGGACGACCGAGCTACATCAACTTCGTCACGCGTAAACTAGTGACTGCGAACGATGAAGAGCGAATGGGGACAAGAATGAACGTTCTCGCTACACGCAAATATTTCCGTGATCGGATCGAACCGGTGCAAACTCCAAGAATTTTTATTTTACTCCGGAAATTTCAATTTTAACTTCTTCCCGTACGATTTTCTTTAGGACTGTGTATGTTCAATTGATTTCACTATATTAACTCCTTGATTTATTTCTCAACTATGATCGATGTAACTGTTTCTCTACTAATCACTTATTGGAAACGTACGACAATCATGAAAAAAAATGCAAAGGTTGAATATTAAAATGATATTGAAGTATTGAAATATTGAAATATGTATTCTTACCGACGATCGATAAAGTACCAGCCAGTCATTGAAATATCTTTCGTAATAGATACAAAAAACGCATTAAAGATTTCATTAACAGTTAATAAAGTTCATTAGACCGGTGAAAAATGTTAAACTTCAACGGAATAAATTTTTCAATTATTTCTGAAACTGCAGTTATAATAAGAAAAGAAAAAGAAATAGCTTATTAAGGTTAACTCTACAAAAGGTGTTAACTAATGTACATTTAAAAATTTACACACAATAATTACAATTACATTTTCCCGCAGGGATTAATTAGCATGGTAATATATGACGGTTTCACTAAATCAGAAAGAGTTCATTTTTTGCGCACGTAACCATATCCCGAATTCATTATTACCTTGTAATACTTCCTGCCTGAAATGAAGGAAATCGTAGTTAGAATAATGAGAAGTGCTGCACTGCTTAACGAACAAAAATCAGACTCGTAACTTAATACGCAACTTAATATGCTCTTCGATACCTTAATAAGGATTTTATTATAAACAGAAGTGGCGGGAACTAATTTCAGACATTTTAATTGAATAACCTGAAACAAGTTTACGACGTAACGAAAGGATCGGCTTGGAACAACATCATCGATTCGGACGTGTCCCGTCGGAACAACACCGTAAAACAAATCCCAACAATTAATCCGCCTC